GTTTATTGCCAAATAATGAGCCAAATCTGTTCATGTTCTTTTTACATTTAAAGGTGCTACATATATGAAACATTTCAGCCTAGGTTTCTACCTTGTAAGCACAATAATGCAGTAATACATTACAATATTATATGTAAAATATGTGTTTACAAGACATTATTGTGCTTACAAGGTAGAAACCTAGGCTGAAATGTTTAATGTAGCAGCTTTAAATGTAACATGAACAGATTTGGCTCATTATTTGGCAATAAACAGGGCAGTTTTGTCTCTTTCTCATCCTTAATTAATATATATAAACACTTCTTAATAGTGTTTAAAGATAAATTAATAACCTATCTATAAAACATTTATAAGGGGAGCCTTAATGTAAAGTGGTACCAAAAAACTAATACTAGAACCAATAAAAACTAAACTAAACTAAAACTAAGCGTTAAAAATGCAATGACAACTAATTAAAAACTAGCAAATCCACTGTAAAAACTAATTAAAACTAACTGAATTAAAAGAAAAAAATCAAAATAAAACTAAACTATAGTGAAAAATCCAAAACTGTTATAACCTTGGTAAGCAGGGTAAATTTTGCAGGTGGTTGTATTTTGTAACCTTTGAGCAAGGCCAGATTCAGGAATGGGAGTAATTATGTGTAAGATCACTTATCTTTTTGTAATGGAGTCAATTATTTCCTGCGTGATGAAGGGTCAAGGTAACGTGCTTCTCGAAAACAAAGGAGTCTTTTTAGGTATATCGGGAATTTATTAGGGAAAGATGGTCAACACGTGTTCATCATTAGGTATAATGCAGTGGTTTTACTCAAGCAAGGTGGAATCTTTCCGTTGACCAAATTATCAAACCTATTTTCTCCACTTTAATCACCGGCCAGCAGCTCTGTCTTCTTTAAAGCACAAGGCTGTGAGTAAACGTAGATCAGCTCGGGCTGTACAAAGTTTCTAATGACTTGTTTCATTATTGCACATTGTTAAAGAACCGCTGCATAAAACACAGTTAATATGATATTTTTATATATWTWTTTTTTTCAGTTTTCTGTAGAATCCCAGTTCTGGATCCGGTGTCCCTTTGTGGACCGGCTCAAAGGTAAAGTGTTTTCCGTTGTGTGTTTATACTCATAAAAACAGGATTACACTATGAAGATAAGAGAGTTTCCATGTAACGCGGTGTGCAGCTGCTCACGATAAATATTTTCCAGCCTGGAACGTGGTCGCGACGAACCAACGAGGACACAAGGAGCTGCAGTTGGTGTCTCAGATCACGACAAGGTTTTCCCTGGGGCTGTGTGCCGACTCGGAGTGCGAGACCACCAAAACACACACGGTGCACGCGGTAGGTATCGCCCATCAGCCTCAGAGATTTAAGCAGTAATCATTGTCAGCGTGTGCACAACTAAAAGAGATTCTTTTTTTATGCTTAGAAATGCTGAATAATAATGACCTCTTGCTCTTTTGACTGAACTTTAATAGGGAACAAGGAAGTGTTTCTTTTTACGTTTTGTTTTCTCTTAGTTTGCAAAGGTAACAAAGCCTCACACATGTTGCTGTTATCAAAATCCGAGCAATAAAAGAAAAAAAAAAGACGACATCATCATTTAACATCATGTTAGAATGTGTCTGCCAACACACTGGCCAAAACGCATCGTGCAACAGGCTGCAGGAAGTCTTTCCGCCGTGACTTTGTTTTGTCAAAGCAGTCACCATTCAGACATCTTTCTCCTGAACTGTCACAGCTGATTTAACGAGATTTAGGTCCACCGAAAACGAGGGAATGGGGAAAATGCTGAGCGCTGAGTCACTCCGYCGACGTCGCAGCTGAAACTGGGTTGTCGAAACTACGAGTAGAAGAACAGTAGCCTAAAGGAGCGGAAAAGAAGCTAAAAATAACCCTAAAAGAAGAAAAACATAGCTCACAGCTAAAATAGCATAACACCACGTAAAAGCAGWAAAATACCAGCTGAAAATAACATAAAAAGACAAAAATACAGCAAGTATGAAGAAGCAGATTTCAAATAGATTAATGCTTTGGGGAAAAATGAACTTGATTATAATGTATGTCAAAAATGAATATTTTAGTAAATAAAGTTAAATAGTTTGACAATATAGAAGGTTACAGATCTCAAAGGTTTTTTTCATTCATTCATTCTTTATTCAAAAAATTTATTCATTTCATCAAAGTGCATCTTACCCCCCTGTGAAAAGAAAACTCTGCCCCAAGGCAAAATTTGAAAAATGCATCGAAGTGGGTAGGGGAGGAGGTGTGGGTAGGGG